CTTTGTGGACATTAGGAGGGGAGTCCCTGTATCCCCTGACTCCTGACCCCTCCCTGCCAAAAGATAGTTGTCTTCTGTAAGGAACTGAACTTCCCAAATCGTAGACCGACTTTCTGAAACAGTGGAAGTGCTGGTGAGGTGTGGGGTGGACTGTTCCCCTCCCAGAACGAGACAATGCTGTTCCAGCAGGTGAGTGCAGCCATCACAGTGTACAGTCAGGTCACGGAACGTCTGTCTTCCATCTGTCATGGTGTGCCACCTCTGTGGACGTGACACCTTTGATTCAACCCTTGTTTAAATCAAAACCCCTTGACCTTTCACTTAAATAAAAGGCAATCGCTGGGCTGTCACATTGTGAATAATAAATGGGGCCATTATTAGAGAGGCCTCGCCGTCTGAGGAGCGGGGAGGCTGTTTTTGGAAAATCTATGGCAGAGGAGAGTATAATTATAACTTGGGTTTGTGTGGCATTCAACCCCAAGTCATCTCAGAGCCCACTGTGGCTTTCTAGGAACCTTCCTCCAAAAAGAGACAGTCAACAAAGAAACACATCAGTCAGGTACATTGCCTGTGAGATAAAATAAGCTCACAGACATTTGAAATCAGCACTTCCTAACAATAAAAACAAACCTGCCCATATCATTCAACCAAAGCATTGACAATTTTAAAAACTCTGTCAGTAAACATATATATGTATATATGTATATGTGTGTGTGGCCTATAACATGAGCTACATATATAACATGTATATATGTGTATATATATATAATGCTACATATATAACATGTATATATATGTGTGTGTGTATATATATATATATATATATAAAATGAGCTACAATCAGAGATCTTTTGGGAAAGATCTCAGGTGAGGAAGTCTAGGGGCTTCTTGCTAAGTAGAGTCCATCTTGCTAGGGTCCTGGTGGTGGTGATTGAATCACTTGACCCGAATGATAAGCCAAAGCCCCAGAGCCTCAGAATCTGTGCTTGTTTGGAAATAAGCTCTAAGATGAGGTCACACTGAAATGACATGCCAGACCCCGATCCATAGGGCTGTCATTAGAGAGGAAAACATGTCAGGACAGAGATGCAGAGGAGACCCCTGTATAAAGACGTAGCCAGGACAAGAGCATAACTCCTACAAGCCCAGAGGGCCAGGAAGGCCACCGTCCAGTCATCAAAGGGCAAGACCTGCGGTGGCTTTGTTCTCTGAGTCCTGACTGACAGAATTGCAGGCGTACCCAGTTTACGACATTGTCTTAGTTAGGGTTCCTATGGCTGTGATGAAGCACCATGACCAAAAAGCAAAAAGTTGGGGAGGAAAGGGTTTATTTAATTGCCTTACACTTCCATATCATGGTCCATCACTGGAGGAGGAACAGGAACTCAAGCAGGGCAGGAACCTGGAGGCAGGAACTGATGCAGAGGCCACGGAGGGGTGCTGCTTACTGGCTTGCTCCCCATGGCTTACTCAGCCTGCTTTCTTATAGAACCCAGGACCACCAGCCCAGGGATGGCTCCACCCACAACGGGCTGGGCCCTCCCCCCGCTGATCACTAATTGAGAAAATACCTTACAGCTGGATCTCAAGGAGGCGTTTCCTGAGCTGCGGCTCCTTCCTCCCTGGTGACTCTAACGTGTCAAGTTTGACACACAAAATCGGTCAGTACAACTGACCCCCTATCAACTTGACACATAAACATATCCTATTAAGTGACAACCCTTCCTTTCTAATTCATCCCCAAGATCTCACATTAAAAACATAACTTTAAAAGCCCCACAGTCTTTACAAATTCAAACACATTAAAATTTCAGTCCCTTTAAAATATCCAATCTCTTTTAAAACCCAAAGTCTTTTAAGGTTCAAAGTCTCTCAACTGTGGGCTCCAGTAAAATACTTTTTTTATTTCAAGAGGGAAAATCAGGGCACAGATACAATTAAATCACAGCAAAACTAAATTTCAACCATCCAATGTCTGGAATTCACTCACCCACCATCTTCTGAGCTCCTCCAAAGGGCCTGGGTCACTTCTCCACCTCCGCCCTCTGCAGCACACACAGCTTGTCTCATAAGCTCCAGCTGACTCCACTGCTGCTGCTGTTCTTGGTGGTCATCCCATGGCACTGGCATCTCCAAAATGCTGAAATCTTCTGCTGCAACTGGGCTCTACTTTCACCTCTCATAGGCTCTCCTCATAGCTTCAACTTCTTTGCATGACCCCCACCATCCTGGGCCTTCAACTGCCACTGGGGCTGCCCCTTCACCAATGGCCTCTCCTGGCCTCTTACAGTACCAAGCCTCAGCTGCCCTCCATGACCCCTTCATGCTTTCAAAACCAATACCACATGGGTGACTCTTACACATTACCAAGTCTGGCTGCCAGCATGAGGTACAACCTTGGCTGCCTCTGGAACACAGCTTCTCTGTGCCCTCAGGAAACACTCCCCAGAAGGTTTCACTTCAGTGATGCTGGTCTCGTCTTAATCACCACTAATTTCTTAGATCCAGCTGACCAGCATCAAGTCTCCCAGCAAAGTTTTTCTTTAGTAGTTCTGGTATCTTGTTAATCACAGCTGATTCTTCAGCCCTAGCTGACCAGAACCACAGGCTCTTAACTCAAAATAACAAATAACCCTGGTGGAGTCTTTAAACTTCCCTCTGAAACTTCACACACCAGGCCTCCATCTTCTGCATTGCTCTCAACATTCTTATCTTCCAAGTTCCCACAGAACATCCCACTGGGCTCTTACAGCTCAATGGCTCTTGGAGCCCAAAGTTCCAAAGTCCTTCCACAATCCTCCCAAAAACATGGTAAGGTCGATCACAGCAATACCCCCCCACCCCCACCCCATGCTGGTACCAATTTGTCCTAGTTAGGTTTCCATTGCTGTTATATAACACCATGACCAAGCAGGCTGGGGAGGAAAGGGTTTATTCAGCTTATACTTACGTTACTGTTCACCACTGAAGGAAGTCAGGTCAGGAACTCAAAACCGGGCAGGATCCTGGAGGCAGGAGTTGATGCAAAGGCCATGAATAGGAGCTGCTTACTGGCTTGCTTCACATGGTTTGCTCAGCCTGTTTTCTTTTCTTTTTTTTTTTTTTTATTTTATTTTACAATACCATTCAGTTCTACATAACAGCCACAGATTCCCTTGTTCTCTCCCTTCCTGGAGCTCACTTGGTAGCCCAGGCTGGCCTCGAACTCACAGAGATCCGCCTGGCTCTGCCTCCCGAGTGCTGGGATTAAAGGCGTGCGCACCAACGCCCGGCTCAGCCTGTTTTCTTATAGAACTCAGGACCACCAGCCCAGGGATGGCACCACTTAGCATAGGCTGGGCCCTCCCCCGCTGATCACTAATTGAGAAAATGCCTTACAGCTGGATCTCAAGGAGGCATTTCCTCAACTGCGGCTCCTTCCTCTGATGACTCTAGCTTGTGTCAGATTGACACACAAAACCAGCCATTACAGACATGGTCAGCGAAGCCCTGGGAAATGTGCACAGGCATGTGCACAGGCATGGAAGTTCCTAGTCTCCAGTGAGGTGGAGAACAATCGCTCTCACACATTTTCTTAGGGCAGCTGTACAAAGAAGGAGGGGGGCACTTCTGCACCCACAGCTCTGTGGACCACTGCTGCCTGGCACTGACACTTTGCAGATTAATGGAATCTAACCAAGGTGATTCGGGCACATCGATGACTGATCTTACCAAACCTAGCCACGGCACAGGTAAGGTGTGTGTAAGTGAAGAGTGCTCTCCCCATGTGAGCACAGCCACTGAAAGTCACTCGTGCTGCCGTTTCCAAGGGTCTGGTAGATTCCCAAACCCCATGCCCAGAAAACCTTCAGTTATGGGCATGCCCCAGCTTCAGCACCTGCACAGAGCAGGGCATTCTGCTTTCCCAGCTGGATGGCTAGCTCAGCCCTGGAGAAACAAGCCTGCCCTTCAGGTGTGGGTGGCCTGGAGAGAACAGAGGTGTAAGTTCTAGGATGACTCCATGACACAACCATGTCAAAACTCCTTAGCTCTGTGACTTCGTCCTCAGAACCAGGGAAGGAAGATGGCTACATGTGACTGACTGACACTTCCAGTATTTCGCAGAATGGGGTGTGTTTTCTTTTCCCACTAGTGGAGGAGAAGGGAGATTGGAGGGAACACTAGCCAGACTCACCCTAGGATGGAGGTTTCGTGCAGCCGAGGCTGACCTCGATCCTTCAGCCTCGGCCTCCTGGAGTCTGGGTGGACAGTCACATGCCACCAGGCCAGGTTTATGTGGAGCTGGGGATAGATAGTCCCTGGGGCTCTGTACATCCCGGGCAGACTCTTCACCAGCTACACCACACCTCCAGCCGGTGGTGCTTGTCTTGTGAGAGCGTGGCAAAGATGGGTCTGACCTTGAAGACGACACTCAGTATGACTGAAAACCTGGTTATGTGAAATGGTTTGATTTTTGACTTCTTAATAAACATCATCTCAACCCTGTCCCGTGTGGCGAGGATGGGAAAACACACAGGTGGGGCAGAGGCTGTGACAAAATCACCAAAGTAAAACCAAGGCCCGGGGTCTGGTGTCTGTGTCTCCATTGCCGTCTGCTGCATGAACAGTCTGGAAAGGGCTCAGCAGGTTCAGAAGCCCGTCATAAACGGGGACGTCCCTTGGTGCAAAGCACCTAACGCGATCGGGAGCACACCGCAAAAGATGTCCGTGAGAGACTGCAAATGGTTAGTCGTGAGCCAGACTCCACGCTCCTGAGTCAAGTGGTCACTTGGATGGCCAGCTGCTGCCTGACCAGGTTTGAACTCTGTCACCCACAGCTCCTGAATACGACCTGATAAGGCATGGCCGACTCTGCAGAATTTGCTGGAACACTACTAATGCCCACTGGCCTATTTATGGAGTTATTTTGCCGTGATGAAGGTTGGCTTCCCTGGGACATGATGTCACAGGAGCCATGGGGATCACCTAGCAACCGGAACACAGCAACATGTCCAGCTCCTATTTATAACCGGCTTGCTGGCCATGCCAAGAGGTGAGCAGTTAGATCAACCAGAGAGCGCAGGGTCATTTGATTCTTCTGGAAGCCACAGCTGTTACTAGAGTTGACAGAGGATGCCGGGGCCCAAACCCTCAGCTGTCACACTTGGTCCTAAGCATGTTCCACAGAACCACCAGCTTGTTCACAACTCTGCTACCTAGAAAAGCTGGGCCAGCTAAGTCACGGCCAGCGCTCCCTCAGAACCGACTCAGGCGGGGTGGGCTCAGAGCCAGGTGCTGCTGTTAGGCATGCTGACACAGAAGCCTGGTAGCCCAGAGTCCATGGAAGTCTCCCTTTCCCCCAGTCATCCCTGGCACACTGTCCCAGGCAGATGACTGAACTCTCGGGGGCCCGAGGAAGGAGCCTGAACATCTCATGGAGAATTCCAGGTAAAGGAACACACCTTCAGGCAGCCTGAGGTCCATCTTCTCCCCTGCCTGCCGCGGGCACTCACTCCTTCCTGCTGGAGGGGTCCTGGGCTTACCATCTCCCCACCTCCACTGAAACGTAGCCTTTCTTGACATCAGGACCAAAGGACACTGATAGAGTTTCAGCGTGATATGTCTCGAATCTGTTAGGATTTTGAACTCTTGGGCCTCGGTTGGTGGCATTGTTTTGTGAGGTTGTGGAACCTCTTGGACAGAGGTAGGGCTGTAGGGGCAGGCCTAAGGGCTATAATCCGGTTAGCCACTGAGACTTAAATTGGAGGCTCTGCTTCTACCACCACAGCCACGAGCAGCTCTCGACACCGGAACGCCCTGCCATGATAGCCCAAATAAACTTCTCTTAGCGTTGCTTCTTTTGGGATCTTTATCATAGTAATGAGAAAAGCCTGGTGTCTCAGACCGCTCAGTCATCCCGATGCTCTGTCATGGGGGCAAAGGTACCTAATGCAGACGTGAGTTACGGTCGCTGGCGTATGTGTGACAGAGAAAGCACTTAATATGCAATCGCGGTAATTTCAGACATGGAATGTCACGTGTGCTTCATGGCGGGTCCCCAGATCGCCTTGGCTAGTGCACTGACTGCATGATACTAGGATAGTGCCATTCAGCAAGACCACTGCCTTTATGATGCTAAGGATGAATTGTACTCCACGCACTTTCATTGTCTGTGGGGGGGGGGTGCTCACCATGTATACATATGTGGAAGTCTGAGATCAATGCCAGGTGGATTCCTCTATAGATCTCCATCGACTTGCCTACTTGTTTGTTTGTTTTTTATTTAATGAGACGGGGTCTCACTGTACAGACCAGGCTGGTTTCAAACTCCCAGCGATCACTCTGCCTCCTGAGGGGCTCAGTCCTAATTCCCTCTCCTCTCTCCCCTGGGGAAAGGGTCCCCTGAGCAGGGGTGGGTGGTGACAGGAGCCCCACCCAAGCTGTTGCAGCTCTCTCCAGAGCACGCCACGCTGCAAGCCTCTATTTTTACACCCAATGCTCAGGAACGCTCCTTAGGGGAGCCCACCCCCCACTGGTCACTCCTCATCCTCCACACGGCAAGTCATCCTGAGCCTTCACAGATGTGTTGGAGTAGCCGTCGGCAGTGACAGGATGCAAGGCTCAGGGTTTTGTTTTCTTGGTTTTATTTCGTTTTTAGCTTTATGTAACTGATTTTTTTTCCCCAACATAATATTTTTATTGATTATTTAATATTCTTATTGATGATTTGGGAGTTTCACATAATGCACCTGACCACATTTACTCCCATTCCGCCCAGGTCAGCATCCCTCCCCTTTGACCTCACCCAAAGAAAAGAAAAGAAGAAAAAAATGTCTAACCCACCCACCCCTGAGAAAAAGAAACAGTCTAGACAGAGAGCCATTGAAGAGAACTCTTACACATTGTGACAGGGATCCCAAAGTGCAGCTCTTCACAGTTGATGGCTTCTGGCAGGGGTGAGGGTGAGGAAGGACTCAGTTTTCTTTAAGGGGGTGGCCCCTGGGAGTTTGACCATGCTCCCGTGAGGCTCGAGGATATTAAGGCAGCAAAACAGCCTTTAAGACCAGGAAACAACGCCTTAACAACAGAGCCACGCTCAGCCCAGCCTGTCCACTGACTACGGGGTCCTGTGTTCTCCCCGTACTTGCACGGTTTAGATGATTCTCCACTCCCTTCCCTTCCGACGCAGTCCTATTCAACAACGCGTGGAGGATCTGACCACAGCTTTGCTTCCTAGTGGGCTCCATAAACCGGACTAAGTCCGCAGCCTACCAAGGCCTTCTGCCTGGGTGAAGCGCGACACCAAGTGGACAAGGGCGCCACCTACAGATGGTTCCGGAAAGTGCCATAGCGGCCTTCAAACCGGGCGGCAACCTCTCCGTGGGGTGTGGCGGCCGCTGGGCGCCCGCCTGAAGTTCCCATCCGCATCCCCAACCTGAGCTGGTCCCCGCAGGGCGCCCAGAGGTACACGCTGTGCCAAACTCGCCCGCAGCAGCAAGCCAACGGAATCGCGTGGGGAAAATGGAAAAAAAAACAGGCCTGCACGCCTCCGCGGGGAGTTGATGATCAGCAAAGCAACCAAAATCTTCGAAGTCACCCGCAACCCCACTCAGACTGGCAGTCTAAAAAAGGTATTTCCTGGTGGCGGGAGAGTGACTCAGTTTCCCGGTGACTCAGCGCCACGAGTGCGCGGTGGTGCGGGTGTGCGCGGCTATTCCGGGTGAGGCGGTGGATCGGCCTCGCGGCCCGCGCAGCTCAGGAAGCTCAAGTGGGGTGTGAGAGGAAGCGCTCCCCACGCGGGGGCCGCGGGGAGGTGACTCAGCTGAGACGCAACGCGTGGGGCTGCAGCGCCGCTCCTCCCTGAGCCCCTACGCAAATGCGCGCAGGCCACTGGGTCCCCGCGCGCGCGCGCACTTGTCCCTGTGGGTTCCCGCGCTAGCAAGTGCACGCAGGTCACTGGATCCCCGGCTCACACGCACTTCCTAGCATCCTGCGGAGTGTGGGCGCGGGAGACTTTGTCCCCAGGACATGCCACTGGGGGCAGGCGCGCACAGGTGACCGATTCCCCCAGTGGGGCTTGGGGATCCACACCCTAGAGGCCCGCTCTTCTCAAAGTGTGTTCCTGTATCATTACAGCTTGGAGGCAAACTCCACAGACGTGACTAGCTAGCGCAGCTGTCCTGTTCCTGGGATACAGTTACAACTTACAAGTCAAAGGTTCAGTGAGTCCTGAGGGCAGTGATCTCGGGGTCTGAGGGCCAACAAGGAGCTGGTGACAGCTGAGTTCACAACACGCTGAACTGGCAGCTGGTGTCCCAACAGTGCATGGGGGTCGGGAAGGAAGTGTGTAAGAGCTTGGACTGGTGTGCACACTTGTGGAAGTTGAAGGGCAACCAAGATCGGGTTTCCCACGGTCTTGGAGTCTGAACCTTTCTGAGACACTTAACTCTGAACCGCGGAGCTCCCTAGGAACAGACACCAGGTCTCGGAGAGGAGCACGGGTTGTTTTCCACTACAGTTCAGAACCAAGGGAGCCTGCCACACTGCCAGAAGCAGAGATTGAGTGTAAGCAACGCCACCATCAAGGCTACACAGATAGAAAAAATTCATTTTTCTAGAAGTTATGTAGGATGGGGAGGAATTTTCCTCCTAATGCATGTAAAAATATCTTTGCCTCGCTGGCATGACTCACTATGATTTTTAGGAAGAATGGGAACTTGAGATTCCTAAGTTCGCTGCAAAGTGGGTATCTTTCAATATGTGATCATTAACACTCTGTGTATATGGCCTGAAGTCATGTGACCCTAAATCTGTAAGGAGGGGCTGTTTACTGCTTTGTAAACTAAAGGACACGAAGGAACGTTAGGTTAAGTGGTGACACTCCCATGCGCACAGCACAAACACAGACTGGCCCCAAATGCAACTAAGATGGTCATGAAAATAAGGACAAGGACCTCGGAGTATCACCTGTAGATCTCTCAGATCTGGAGTTACAAAGACTGGAGACAACGAAACCCCCAAACTGAAAAGTCACCTTGGGGGCAATTGGACTATTGTGGTAAGGTCTTCTTAAGTCTGAGAAAATGAAATACTGCATTACATCGTGGGAATTAAATCAGAGTGTCTGTAATCCAAGCACAAATGAAGTCAAACAATGGAACCATATTCAGAACAATTTTGATCAACCTGCCTGTAAAAAAAAAAAAAAAAAAAAAAAAAAGCAGAAAAATAGTCCAGGGCTGGCATGGAGGAAGAGCCGCCACTGTGTGCTCTGCCTGTGGCCCCCAGTTCATCCCATATCTCATTCCTCTTTGTGGCGACACTGCGAAGTAGGCAAGTATTTGATTTCATTTCCAGAACAACCCTCAGGTCCACCCCTTCCGGTTGCGTAACTGTATTTTTAGTTCCGACCTAATTTTCACATCTGACAAGTTGTGAGTTTGTTCTACGATGACTTGATTTTTTTTTTTTTTTGACAGAACATTGTGAAGGGCAGGGCGTTATTTATTCCCACTTTTCCTGGAACATGGTAAGCTTGTGGAGCGTCAATGGTGAAGAAACAGATGGAAGAAATGATAGATCAATGGGTAATGGGTGGACGGAGGAGTGGGAAGATGAATAATAGATGGAAGTGTGGGTAGGTGGATGAATGGATGGGGGGATGGATGGGTAGATGGGTAGGTGGATAAATGGATGGGGGGATGGATAGGTAGATGGGTAGGTGGATAAATGGGTGGGGGGATGGATGGGTAGGTGGGTAAATGGATGGGGGATGGATGGGTAGGTGGGTAGATGGATAAATGGATGGGGGATGGATGGGTAGATGGGTAAGTGGATAAATGGATGGGGGGATGGATGGGTAGATGGGTAGGTGGATGGATAATACACAGCAGAGGAAACAGATGGAAGCAGAGAGTGGAGGAACTCTAGATGAGGGAATACAGTCTGAGATGTTTTCTTTTTTCTTTTTTCCTCTTCCTGTAAATTCCTCCTGGCTTATGGTTTTGGTGCAGAAAAAAATAACTTCAAATAAAAATGACCCAAATCACACAGCTCTCTAGCCTCTTTCGTAACTTGTATGTGGAAGGGTCGGAATCTATTTTCTCGTAGTGCTGGGGATGGAGCATGGGGGCCTCACCCCTGCCTCAGGGCTGCATCCCCAACCCTTAAGACTTCAGGCTGAACTGTCATGTTCTAGTTCCCTGAGCACAACACAATGGCCTTTGGAATCAGACACGGGATGAGCTGGTGGGTTCAAAGATTCGAGGGTTCCGGTAGGAAGTTGACAGGTCCTCCAACTAACACAAACAAGATGTGTTGTCTGTAGTAACGGCCACGGCACAGAAGTTCGAGAAGAGCCAGCAGCGATATGGGGATAGAAGAGTCCTGGCATAGAGATGTACAGTGCTCTTGAGCCTTAGAAAAGAGCGAGGCATTCCAGTGGGGTAGAAAGATGGATCAGCGGTTAAGAGAGCTTGCCACACAATCATGAGAACTAGAGTTCAAATCCCCACTCTTGTATAACAAGCCATGTGCCTCCTCGATATAGAGACAGGAATATGGCTGGGGCTTGCTGGCTTCCAGCCTGGCTGAATAAACACAAAGTGAAGGAAGAGACCCCGCCTCCAAGGAGTAGCTGTAGAGGGAAAGAGGAGGACATTCAATGCCCTCCTCTGGTCTCTGAATCAGCACATGCACGGACACACCCATACACACACACACACACACACACACACACACACACACACACACACACACACACAAATAAACATCCTTTTAGAGCAGAAAAAAATGTATAAATGGCAAAGTTCAGACATTTGTTCCAGTTTCAGACATCACCCTGCTATTTTGCAAGCCAAGGGTGTGCATGACAGGCCACCCCTCCAGGCAGATTCATGAAGTGGCCAGCTGATAGCCTTGATGTAAATGGCCCAAGTCTGCTATGGTTTAGATGTGGATTCTCTCCTGGGCTCACGTGCTCAATGCTTGGCCACTGAATGTGGTGATGCTGGGAGGTGGTCCAGTCCTGGAGAGGAGGGGCCTAGCAGGGGGTAATTGCATCACAGAAGGAATCAACGGATGTTGGAGCCCATTTGGGTTCCTCGTGGCTTTACCCAGCAGGTCTGCATAGAGAGGATGGTTGGACCACGGGCCTGAGTGCAGGTGTCTGAGATGGTCTGCACTTGGCTGTGCTGAGGCGAGGTCTTTTGCTCCACCCCTTGGCATTCCTTTAAATATCCTAGGGCAGAGACAGTCAGGGCCCGTGGATTAGGATCCAGGCCCACCCGAGGCTGTCCTGTGTTTCTCTCTGCTTCTCTCCCCTCTTTATTTCTACCTAAGTCTCTTATCCCTCACTCCTCAAGAGTCCCCGAGGTAAATAAATGTGGGCGCTGGACCCCCACAAATGTACATTGAGTGGAGGGGTTCAGCTCCTGCAAGAACGGGCTGTTAAAGAGTTGGCATGACCCTTGTGTCTCTCTGGTCTCTCACCCTGTTCCTTCTCCCTCTCATGCATGCCTCTGCCATGCTGTCTGTCATCCGCCATGTCGTGATTAAACAGAGCCCCTCACCAGAGCCTCCAAAACCGTGCTATAGTAAGTTTTCCCTTACAGTAGCCTTCACAGGGTAGCTCTGGACAGTACTGGAAAAAAAAAAAAAAAAAA